TCACGAATTTCGCGAACATAAAACCGTGACTTGGCGATCGGAAAATACTAGCCAGAAAGATGCATCAATATTTTATTAGTTCTCAAAAAACAAAGATGGTAATTTTGGTCATTTTCAATACACATATGTATTGAAAATGACATGGTGTATTGGTGTTTATGCTGGCCTAAATAAATATAAGAATACGATTCTTTCTAGCCTATTCTGTTTATTTAATGATCGTGTGGCGTACAACAGCAATGTTTACTCACATTCCCGGCTATCCAGGGGCTATTCTTGGCGTGATATCGCAAAAAGGACAAACAACAATCGCAGTTCAAATCTAAAGTGGCGCAGTGCAAAACGAAAGTGGCGCAGTGCAAAACAAAAGAGGCGCCACTTGGCTTTGCACTGCGCCACTTGACTTTAGGCGATATTAGATGAAACGCCAATTTTGGCATCAAAATTAAACTAAATAAAATAAATGAATAAAAAAAATCAAGAACACATAATTCAATTTTTTTCAATAATTTCACAGCGAAACAACAACAGCACAAAAATTTGGGACTAAAACACAAATAAGAACGTTATGATCATAGGCATACTTGTCGTAAATACCGTAGCCTAGGCTTATCTATTCTATTCATCGTTACTACCGCTAATAAAGGCCTATAGCATAGCTGACAGCCATGGCTACTAGAGACAGATTAGAAGCTTTGGTAGTGATGGGTTATACAAATAAACAATTTGCTGAAGAAATGGAGGTAAGCGTAAGCACCATAAAAGCCTCCGGCGTAATTTCCGATTAAGAAAGAGTGACTTTTGAGTGATATCAGCGGTAAGTTTGGAAAAAAAACTGTTGCGTTTTGTTTCTACATCATTGCTAGGCTAGTCGGAGTAGACTACTTATAGTTAGGCTATGCTAGGGTCGACGCAACCGACTGCGTAGCTAGTTTGGAAGATCGATTCAATAACATGCATTTTTACATTGTATTATTACAGCTCAGATTGACATTTTCAGCATTAAAATTTATTAATTAGACCAATACAGTAATAATTTTTTTGGCAAATCAAAAAATTAAAGGACACAGATTTGTTTTTTGACTCAAGTTGATTTCTTCCTCTTTTTCCTGTTTACATTTTGACAGAATGTAAACTATATGGTTTTAAAGATTTTTTTAAACATTTTTCATAAATACAATTTCAATATTTAAATGAATAATATGATATTAATTTTATTGTGGTCTTAGTGTGCGACAGCGATTTCTGATATTTATATATTGAAAAATAAATACTGTTTAGGCATTTTAATTATTCATATGTTACTGTGGCCTTTAATAAGATAATGATAATAATAATAATAATAATAATAATAATAATAATAATACTTCATTTTTATGTAGCGTAATTTACCTGTAGGCCTATAAGTTATTACAACTGTACTTTAATTGTTATCATTAATTACAATCAACCGCGGTTGAATTTTACAAAAATGATATATTTTTATCTTTTTTTCAATTATTATTATTATTATTATTATTATTATTAACAGCCACAGTAATATATTGGCGTGTATGCGTATAATAAGTATGTATTGGCTTGTAATACATATAACAACATGTAAATGTAAAGAGAACAAGTAGAGGCCCAAACATGAATATTGATAGAAAAATAAATCGAACGTAACATTATTTTAATAGAAAAAGAAGCCCAATAAATCCAAAGAAGTTGAAAACACAAACAGGCTTGATTTAGGCTCACGGTGCAGTGACACTTTGCTGCAACGATATACTTTGTGGGTGCGTTTTTTAGTTATACGAATAACACTTTATTATTTGAGCTATATTTATTCAAATTTCAATGTTCTTTACAACAAACATACATAACAGCAACAAGGCTGTTACGTATGGGTTTAAAGGTAGGCCTGTCAAAACAGTAGAAAAATGGCAAATAAATAAATAAATAAAAATAAGAATACAGAAAAATACGAGACGTACGGTATTCCGTGATCAAAAATATCAAGTTTATTATATAGACATATACATTTAATAACCAAGGTGAAGGACACAAGACTATACGTACGGTACTGTACCAACACTCATAATATCACATCCTCATTAAACTCAATAGTATTAAATATTAAACCTGTGTATTTCAGTATCCAATTGTTGATGTAGATAATTGAGGAATTGGATCCTAATTAATTACATGTGTAAATGGTGATTAAAAAATGAGATAGAACATACTACTAAAGTGGGATTTACTTTCCAGAAGAACATTCAATAAAGAAAGAAAAATTCATTCTCTTGGGCTACACTATACTTTTGCGAATGTGTATGTAATTACTGTTTTAGTTTATCTTTGCCTAAATATAGTTTGAGGGGTAGCACAAGAATTTGCCCGACGGGGGCCCAGGTTCCCTATTGGGTGATATGAAAATAATAATAATAATAATAATAATAATATAGGCCTACCTAGTAAAAATTAGTTAATTTCTATTTTAATGCCAAATTGGCGTTCCATACAATACCACCAAAAGTAAAGCGGCGCAGTGCAAAACTAAAGTGGCGCAGTGAAAACTCAAAATGCGTGTGCCACCATATTAGTTTTGCAATGCACCACTTGAATTTTGCACTGTGATTGTAATTTGTCCTTTTGGCGTGATATCGCGAAAAGGACAAACTACAATCGCAGTGCAAAAGTCAAGTGGCACAGTGCAAAAGTCAAGTGGTGCAGTGCATTTTGAGTTTGCACTGCGCCACTTCAATTTTGCACTGCACCACTTTAGTTTTGCACTGCGCCACTTGACTTTTGCACTGCGCCACTTGTAATTTGTCCTTTTGGCGTTCCATACGAAGCAGCCAATTCATATTTTTGACAGCAATTTGACCTCTGAAAGGTCATTGTTTGTCAAAAAACAAGAGCTTAAGACGACTGAAAAGCGGAGTTTCCTTCTTTCGTTCTGCCGGGTAAAATCAATTACTTTAGGCGACGTTTGTAGACTAACCAACACGTACCAACGTCCGCATGTCGCGCTAGCCTTATCCTACTCT